ATTGGCACTTCTGCGATTTATCACTGCATCATGTTGCGAACACCCCACTAGGCCATTTGTAAGTGAATAGCAGGCTATTGCAGAATTGACAATACTTGAGGACTTGTAATGATAGCTTTGCATAGGAGAGAGATACCTGCTAGGAGAGTTCGTATCACCATTTGATCCAATTAATGAATTAGGCTAAATTGTGTCATTCCCCTCCGAGAAGGAATGCAGACATGGTGTTTCGAAATGGTCCCGGGTGCCATTATGTTGTCATGCTTCCTTGTTCTAAGATGGTATGAACAATAGCATATTAGGGACTAAACTGAGAAGAGAGTGAGACAGTCTTGTCCCATCAAAAATAATTGCCTTGACCATTTCAGCTCATTCCTTTCACTATAACCAGAGAAGAACATGCGGTCTATGCCACTGTAATCATACCTTAGGCAAACAATGAACCGTTTCACGTCTTGCTTGTAGATTAAGCAAGTCGTCTCTCGATACTGAAGACTTTAAAAAATCTATAGCGAAGTTATTTCACTGTCACATGCAGTTCTCTCAATAAAAACCAGATTGCATTTCCACTTTCAGCCCAAACCCAGAGGTGGAAACTAACTGATAATGTATTGAAACGATTGTGTGTTCTCACATGTCTTAATTTTTATTTCACTTTAAATGGGCAACATGTCAAAATACTCCCTTAGCATAGATGAACATCTCCACTTTGATAAGTGATTTTAAGATTCTGGTGAGGGGGGAGGGGTAACACTTCCGTTAAAAAGGCTGTGTATGTGTTGCTAGAACGAGACACACAAAAAATAGCAATTTTTCTTCCAACTTCATGATCCATACATTTTGATCTTGGCATTTTGATCTGGCCCAGACACATTCTTTTCAACTCCTACACTTCATATTGCATGTTTTACTTTTGCAGCTTTAAGTCTCCATGCCGTCTGTCTTTATCAACACCTAGTTGCATAGATATGTGGTTGAGGCAAAAAAATAATAATAATCATGTTTAACCTTTAATCTAACTTTTTATCCTTATAAAAATGCCTTGCATTATGCGAACAAAATCATGTCTTCATTTATTTTACTATGTCACCCCCCCTCCGAATTTTCTTGACAGCTATGCCATTTTCAGAGAGCAGGATAGAAATAATGATCTCACTAGAAGTTTCACATTATTCAATATACACATGGTTAAAAAGTGTACGATTTTTATATAAAATTATTCGGCACCTGCAAGGAAATCTGAAGCCACTTAAAATACTGCTGACAATATTGTTATAAGTGGAGGGCATTTCAAGGTTGCCTCTTCTGTGGACATATTTTTGTTTTGTTTTTTTCTACTAGTAAGCTATTCTGTCAAGAATCGGAGATTTAATGAAAAATAAACCTTCAAAATGGAGTCTTGCCAGAGAAGCAGATATAAAAATCTCCTAGAATGAAGAGAAGAGCAGCAACAGCTTTCGCCAAATACACCTTCATCATTTCCCTCTCCGGAAAGTATGTAAGCAGTATATGCTCATACATGCTAAGCTACTAGGATATTAAATCCGTTAGAATCTATCAAGGGTTTCTTAGAACTATGGCATAGCCTTAATATATTCTGAAACAAGGCTTGTTACACATTCACAACATAAAAAGCATTTATAGTGTGGGTGGCGAGAGAATTTGAGCTGCATCATATGGTGGCAAAATGACAAAATGTCAGAGAGGGAGAACTTTCACACTAGTCCTTTTCTCTGCTCGTCACTTTTCACAGAGCAACCACATAGCATCACTGTTTATTGAGCAAGCTTGCCATGTTTTCTTCCCCCCCAGAGACTTACTGAAATATACTCGGAGTTGAGTGGATTTCTGTGGGAAGCTCTTGAGCATGAGCCAAGCATACGAACAACCTCCCCTCCTGTTGTTTCCAGTAAGTGGTATTTAGGAACATTACTGCCTCAAACCATAGAGGGAGAGGGAGAGCAGAGCCATCATGGCTGGTAGCCATCAACAACCTTACCCCCAACAAATATGTCTAATTCTCTTTTAAAGCCATCCAAAATGGTGGCCATCACTGCGTCTTGTGGGATCGAGTTCCACAGTTTAACTATGAGCTGCACAAAGAAGTACTTTTTATCTGTCCTGAATCTTCAAACATAGCCCACCAATCATAGATTCCAGGTTGAAGCAGAAATGAGTGATTTTAACAACAATAACAACAACAACAACAGGTAAAAGCAGTCATGATACGCTGGGCTCAAGACATTGGCCACAATATACTCATGAGTGAATGGGAAAGGCTATGGAAAGAGGACATTAAATTCACCCCCTGCTACTACCTTAGAGAAAACATTTTGAAGATGCAATATAGATGGTACCTAACCCCAGCCAAGTTGCCCAAAATGTATAAGAACAGCACAGATGTATGCTGGAGGTGCAAGGAGGGGGTAGGTACCTTTGTACATATGTGGTGGGAGTGCAAGAAGTTAAGAGAATTTTGGGGTGCCATCTATAATGAAATGAAAAAAAATGTTTAAATTTTCCTTTACAAAAAACCCCGGAAGCCTTCCTGCTCAGTATCATGTCAACAAAAATTAGAAAATTAGCGAAATTAACTGAAAAAAAATGAAAGATAATTCAAAACAAGTATTTATTGCAAAATGGGAACCTTTCAAAATATATCTTAAGAACAACTGTGGTGGTTTGAACTTGGTCGCTGCCTTTGAATAACCTCTGTAGCTGTATTAAGTAAGAAATAAGGACATAGGAGAAATTATACTTTATTGTAAAATGATCACACAGGTTTATGCAACAAGTTAGTAAATAAGAAATGAAGTATGGAGACGACGGGAAGTTAGATGTACCCTAAGATTTATTGTCAAACATATGAACTTGTTTTCTTTTTGTTAACTTTGTAATTTGTAACAAATGACGTAAATTTATGATTTTTTTTGGGTGTTATGTCGGTGCATAAGCAGAATAAAGCATTTATTTTATTTTATTTTTAAAAAAGAACGAAATTAAGAAAATCAGTAGACCCTTATTTATGTATGCCACCGCAGCGGCGAGAATTCTGATAACCAAAAATTGGAAAAGTAATAATAACCCCACTAAATCGGACTGGTTAGCAAAATATTTTCATCTTGCAAAATGAACAGGGATAATAAGAGGAAATACTATTCAAAAAGTTAATAAAGATTGGGCAACTTTCATAGAATATCTTTAAAATTATATGGACAACACAAGTCTCCTGGCAGATACAGATTAAATCTAGAAAACAGAGGAAAGGTATAGTAAAATCTGATTAGATAAAGATAGGTAAAAGTAAAATAATTAATATGAAATGTGTATAATGTTAAGATTTTAAATAAAGCATAAAGAGAAGAGTTGGAAGTCTAATATTTGTGGTGTTCATGTAGGATGTGTAGGTATGTTGGGTAGGTATTATATGTATTGTATGAAACGTTTTGTATTTGTTCTTTGTAAACTGAATAATAAATAATGACAACAACAACTTATTACTTATACCTCACCCAGCTGGCCGGGCCTCCCCAGCCACTCTGGGTGGCTCCCAATAGTACATTAAGAACATGATAAATCTTCAAACATTAAAAACTTCCCTAAACTGGGCTGCCTTCAGAGGTCTTCTAAAGGTCAGATAGTTGTTTATTTCCTTGACATCTGATGGGAGGGCGTTCCAGAGGACGGGTGCCACTACCGAGAAAGCCCTCCACCTGGTTCCCTGTAACCTCACTTCTCACAGTGAGGGAACCGCCAGAAGGCCCTCAGCACTGGACCTCAGTCTCCAGGCTGAACTATAGGGGTGCCTAGCAAAGATTTCATAGCATGTCTTCAAAGGCTCCTTCGTATTCCTACATGGATCAGATTGCATTGGACCACAAACCGCCAAAAAAAAAATCTACTTTGCAGATGCAATGTTGTTGGACAAGACCATTCTGTTTGCTACCATTACTGTTGCAGAATAGGCAAATATTCTAGCACAGCTGATCTAATTCACTCCTTCTCTGCTTTGTCACCCTTAGGCCTCCAATATACCAAATAGCTGTTTTGGTTCCACAAGAAAGGAGAGGGCACTTGGAAGCAAGTTATCTTCATTTTTCACATAGCAACTAGGATATTAAGAGAAGCATTAGCTATGTCAAATGGAAACTCATCAAGGGTCTTTTGGAATCACTTGTGTTCTATAAACTTTCAGGAGCAGTCCATCCCAATGGGTCCCCCATGGCAGAGAGCCACTGTCAACCTAAACTCAACAGGAAATGTGATCTAACCATCACAAAGGAGTCGAAGAAACATTTTCCACCACTGGCCCAATATCCTCCTGACCAGCTCAGAAAAGCAGATGATCTAGGATATATCATGCTGTATGCATTTGACCACACACACCTAGGTACGTGCAACGTGTATAAGACTAGGTTTTTCCCCTTAAAAATAATGTCAAAAATTAGGGGGTGTCTTATACACGGATACATCTCCCCCCATTTTCTTAAACCTGAGTTCCCCCAAAATGGGAGGCATCTTATACATGGAGGCGTCTTATAGACAGAAAAAATATGGTAGTTATTGTTTGAAGAAACAATAACGTGCCTAAGTATACCAAAGGCCACAATTATATGTGCTGTTATGCAGAGTACACTTTATGATACAGTATGAATGTTGCAAGGAAAACATAGGTTTAAGAAAATAAGCAGTGTGTATGTATAATTCCCCCCCCCCCATGGGTGTTTTTTCCTATCTCCCTATGGTTTCTTCTAATTATATATGTGCATTTTGACAATATGTGCATTTCTGTGATATTTCTAATTTTTGCACCATCTGTAATCTCATGCATTTGAATGCCTTTGTGGTAAAGTGCATTTTCATGAGCAGAACACAGAGTGACAAGCCAAACCAACTCTGTTATCTGAATATATATTTTTTATTTGGGATCTGCATTTTCTGCAAATATATCCTGATTCCTAAACTGAACCACTTCAGAAACATTTGGGAAGTGGGAAGAGCTGAAGCTCAGTGGTAGAGCGTCTGCATTTCACGCAGAAGGTCCCAGGTTCAGTCCATTGACAGATAGGGCTGAGAGAGACCCCAATCTTTCAATCAGTGTAGACAATACTGAACTAGATGAATCAATGGTTTTGGCTCAGTATATGGCAGCTTCCTATGTCCCCATGACTTTCTATGTTCCTGTCTGTCTAAGCCAAATCTGACTCCTTCCAAAGCAATGTGGAGAGATGCAAAGGTGACTCTCCATTTGCACACGTGCAACTGCCAACACACACACAGTTTTTTGGCCCTGGAAGGGGGCAGAATGGGACAGAGTGGAGGCAGAATGGGGCAGGGGTGGACTAGGGCAGGGCGCCCTTATGGGTGCCCCGCTGATCTGCACGTTGCCTCCAAACAGAACCCCCACACAAACGGGGAGTTGCATGTAGGGTGTCTGCAGAAATTGGTACATTTTCCTTCAAGCTCTCCATATAATGAAAACACCAGGGTAGGAGGAATGTGGGGAGAGAGCGGGGGGGAGGAGAGAGAGAGGGATTGGGTACCGTTTTATGAGTGACAGCTCTAGTTTCCAACCAGGGATTACCTTCACCAGTACTTTTTACAGGAATGAAAATGGAACTTATCAGAGGCTGTTCCTGTACTTTCATTGCTCCAGCTTCAGGGATCCATCCATTGCAGTTCTTTGAAGGGTTTGTGACAAACAGAAGAGGCATAGGCACAATTAATCTTCTGCTGCAGTTTTCTCTTGGCTATTAAATAAAATCTTTAACCTTCGCGTAATCAGTGGGTTGATTGTCTCCATATCTTCTTAAGAAAGAACCATTGACCTTTGGCGAGACACACAGAGGACGGGGCAGCCCTTCCTACGAAGGGTGATGTTTGTCAGCAACAAATAATAGGCCACTAGATCCAGGCAGAGAGAGACAGGTCCAGAGGACATAGCTGATGGAGTGAAAGAGAACTGGTCTTCTTAGTTTTGCTCTTAATATAAAGCCCTGTTTTATATTACAGAGAGAGATGCTCTTAGGTCAAGTATGATTTTATGGCTGCACCATAAAGCACTACTCTGTGTCTGTATTACAGACAAAGAACGGTGAACAGAATGACTTGACCACAAGAGGATGGGAAATACCTTTAATGCCTCCCCATGCGCTATACCAGGGTGGTGAATCTGCAGCACGTGGACCAGATCAGACCCACCAAGCAATTTGAAGTGGCCTGTCAGAAAAACTGATCACTTAAAAAGGCACCTCTGCTGTATCTTGCAGACCCATTTCTTCATATCAGTGTGCACTGCCATTTCTAGCAGATTGGACTGTTCTGGAAAAATGATGGAGAGCTCCTTCCTCTTGATGAGTACCTCCAACCTGCTAGCTGTGGTAGCACAAGAGGATGAAGAGGTGGCTTTGCAAAGTATCTTCTTCCTCATTGTTGTACTGGGCTAGGAAGATAGGGCCATCCTTGTTAATATGTACCACTATATGGACTCTTCCTCTATCTGCATTGATCACTTGGGAAAAATCTGCTGCTCTGACCTGTTCTGTTATTCAACATAGCCACTCATTACATTGCATTTTTCTGCTTCTTCTCCATTACAATCTGACTGATACGGATTGCAGATGGTGAATACCTTCCATCATCATAAGAACGTAAGAACTTGCTGAATCAGGCCAATGGCCCATCTTGTCCAGCATCCTGTTCTGACAGTGATGAACCAGAAACCTGTGAGATTTCTTCAAGCAGGACCTGAGCACAAGAGCGATCTCCCCTTCTGCATTTTCTTGGAGCGAGGTGGTTGGTTGGGGGGGGGGGGACGGGACTGAATCATGCATTTTCAATTATAGAGATGCTCAGAACAGATTTTGTTGGGATTGCTTCCTTTAGTAAACAGTTACTAAACTTTGGATATGTCATCAGTTTGCTCTCTCTCCTTTCCATTTGGCTTCTCCCGGCTAAATTCAAACACACATGGAGGATCTGCTTTGAAACTTGCCAGCCCCAGCCATTCCAAGTGAATCCAGTTTGTGGCAAAGGTAAAATGTTTCCTGCTTAAAATCTAGAGCTAGACATAATGCATCAGGTGCACCTTAGAAGTAATTGCAACATGGTGTTGCGTGAAAAGCCTTATCCTGCACTGAAGCCTGCTGTTGCCATCGGTTGACCTTCTCCCATAGTATGCCAGATAGACCTGCTGTTTCAGCTGTCATGTTCCAAGCAGAAGTGATTGAACGAACACTTTCTGATACATATTAGCTGCTTTTCAACTTGAGAGGTTAAAGATCAAACATTTTGCTTCTTCATGCCAAAAAAGAAATAAAAAGGTCTTCTGCCCAGATTTGTGCAGAGAAAAGTATTTATAAGAATAGAGAAAGGATACCTGCCTACAACTGAATTCCTACTTTTAGGATTTGAAGGAGATATCAGTTTGGGATCTTTCATGAAGTTTTTCATATAGTGGCTGAAAAGATTTGGCACGCCGAGAAAAAAGAGGAAGGAATACAGGGCTAGACATTTCTCTCCCATTAGAAACTTTGTAGTAAGTAATCATTCTAAGATTAGTATCCAAAGTATTTAATTACTTAAAGTAAAATGTTACATGGGTAGTCTCTATTTCAACATATTTCTGGTTTATCAGATTCCAGAGGGCTGGCCAAGTTAAGTCTTTTGCTTCAAAAACAATGACGAGTCCCTGAATAACTAACAGCTTTTTTCCCTTTCATTTTCTGCAATCAACTTCATCGGGTACATGAAGCAGTATGCTAAACTGCAGGTGCCTATATCAGGGCGGGTGTTGTAAACTGTGAGGTCAGTAGAAAATGAAACATAGAAAAGTTAACAATTACCTTATAGTAACAGTGGCCATTGACATACAAAGTGTAGCTGATAACACAGATACTGTGTCACTCGTACAGTGCTACCTTGGTTTAAGAACAGTCCGGTTTAAGAACGATTCAGTTTACAAACTCTGCAAAACCAGAAATAGTGTCCTGGTTTGAGAACTTTACATCAGTCTAAGAATGGAATTCAAACGATGGAAGGACACTGGCAGTGGGAGGCCTCATTAGGGAAAAAGTGCCTCGGTTTAAGAATGGACTTCTGGAACGGATTAAGTTCATAAACAGAGGTACCACAGTAAATTGATTAAGATATGCTGTGTGGTTTAAAAAGGGCAACCAAGGTCCATTAAAAAGGCATTATGGTCACCTTAAGATCAGCTGCAGTTGCAGGATGCTCTCAGGATAGCACAGGTGATTAAGTGGATGGTTGTACATTAAAGTTTCTGCCATAGCTAGTCTTTAGAGTGCCAGAATATTTTTATTATTATTTTCCATTTATCATATGTGATTGATATTTATGCTTTTCAAGGCAAAAATCCCAATGCCATGAAATCATTTGACTAGGCAAAAGAAAATCATGTCATTGATTAAAGGCACATAAAAATGTAGCTGTTAGCATAGCCAAAAGCTTCCTTAAATATTGAATGAATCATGATTGTAATAAAATTCCTCATGTTTCAAGCCTGCTCCTAGAAACATGTATCCCCAAATATCACCAAATGCAGCGCAGAGGCAGCTTATAAAATGGTAAATAATTGGTTACACAAATAAGTGTGGCTGAGATGTTTATTCCAAGATGGGCCTTTTTAAAGGCTTTCCAGGTACTACAGGACTAGCTCAGTTGTGTAACCGTACAAAAGTATTGGGTACGTAGCACAGCATGGAAGACATGCTTACTGGCCAAACCTGTAATTATTTCTATTTTAACAAATTTATTTCTTCTAACTTGGTGACTCTCCCCTTGATAAGTAAACTATCTTCACTGGAAATTAAAAGAAATGTATAAATTTATGTGTGGCATGAAGAAAATTGACATGACAATGTTTTTCTTCCTCTCTTATAAGGCTAGAATACAGGGACATACAATGGAGTTGAATGTTAGAAGATTCAGGACATATAAGACAGCGTACTTTTCACAAGGTGAATAAACAATGGGATTCCTCTCCTTGGTGGCAGTGATAGCCACCAACGTGCGTGGTTTAAAAAAAAACTTGACAAATTCAAGCTTATCAGTTGCTGCTAACCCTGATGCTTATGTTCTACCTCCACTCTCAGAGGCAGTTGCTAGAAACCACAGGAAGAGAGAATACTTTCATCCTTGAACAACAATGGTAACCCAAATCACAAAGGCTCAGGTTACAGCCTTGAGACTCAGCCTTGAGACTCAAATAGTAGTGAGGTACTTCTGATCAAGGGACGCGGGTGGTGCTGTGGGTTAAACCACAGAGCCTAGGACTTGCTGATCAGAAGGTCGGCGGTTTGAATCCCCGCGACGGAGTGAGCTCCTGTTGCTTGGTCCCTGCTCCTGCCAACCCAGCAGTTCGAAAGCACATCAAAGTGCAAGTAGATAAATAGGTACCGCTCCAGTGGGAAGGTAAACGGCATTTCCGTGTGCTGCTCTGGTTCGCCAGAAGCAGCTTAGTCATGCTGGCCACATGACCCGGAAGCTGTACGCCGGCTCCCTCGGCCAATAAAGCGAGATGAGTGCCACAACCCCAGAGTCGGTCACAACTGGACCTAATGGTCAGGGGTCCATTTATTTACTTCTGACCAAATGTGGCATCCTGCTGAATCTTACATTATTCTGAGGGCAGCACTAGGTCCAGCTTGTCAACGTCTGGTCCTCAGTGTTAGAAATTCTCATAGGTCTGGAGTTCACCTTTGGGTCAGATTCCACTTAACCTGGTGGGCCTGGAAAACAAGCAACCTTCTTGTCGAGAGAAGGGACATACTAATGGGCCCAGCCTATTTCATTCAATTAGAAGGCCTTGTCGCATTTGCTTTGTGAAGGTGGACCACTATAAATGGAAAACAATCCAACTGTGTATAAACCAACCTTTGAAGAGATCATAAAAATGAAAGAAAGGATATAATTTTTGCAGCCCGCTCACCTTTGCATTTATATTTGTATTCCGGGCAGAACAAAACATAACTGGGGGCTAGAAATTCAATAAATACATCTCTCCTAGCTATCGTTCTTCTTTTCCACTTTTGCCAATTTTTTATTTCCAGTTCTGTATTCTCATTATATTTTCTTCCTTATCATTCTCTTCCACCCCCCCACCCCCAAGTTGTCTTCTTTTTCTTTTTTACTATCATAATTTTTGTCCAGTGTTTGTGTCTATGTGCTCCACTATGCATTTTTTTTCCTTTGCCTTCCAGCCCCATCTAGTTTTCTCCTTGACAGTTTACCACTGACAAGGCATTTCCTTCAAACATAAACATGCCTTCCTCCTTCTACTAGATGTTTAAAGCACTCCATCAATGTATGCACAATTTTCAGATAAAGCATAAGCGACAATTGTTAAAACACTGATGATGGAACTCATATGCTGAGACAGGCTTGTTTTAACATTTCTCCGAACTCTGAAGCATCTTCAACCCGAGAAAGTACCATTTATGCTTTAATTCCAGCTATTACTTATAGACCGTTTGCATGGCCTGGAGGGGAAAAAGACATCCCACTTACTATGCTTTGATTGTTTGTGGTTCCACCTTCTTAAAACTGTCGTCTGAAAAGGCTATTATAACTAAGGATAGACAGATCACTCCATTCCTAATCTTCATTGCCTTCACAAATGTTTGTTCATAAATTCAATCTCTCCTGTTTCCAAATTAATCTGTGGGTTTTCAGAAATCTGCATGAAAATTCAAATTGAAATATTATTTAAATACGTATTTTGCATGTGTTTTTCTCAAATTTCTAGCTATATTTTAAAGAAACCATTTCTCACATTTGCCTTGTGGTACCAGTGTATTTTATCTCAGAATACACTCTTTAAAATGCATTTTGATGTTTCTTTACAATTGCCATGCAAATTCTGAAGAAGTGCAAATCCAAAGGATGTTCTGATCTGCACATTGGTAACGGAGGTATGAACAAAGTCTGTTCAGATTGGAATTTTCAAAACTATCATTTCTCAAGCCTCTCTATCCATATCTTCCAAGAATTAAACAAATGGAGAAGCTTTTTAAAAAGAATAAAACAGGCATGTAGTATTCACTCAAAATATGATGCTTGTTCAACTTTACACAAATTTATCTTCAGCAGGTGATAAAAACAGAATTGCCAGATAAATCTTAAGCTGATTCTTTGCATTTCTTACAAACTATTTCATTTAGACCCGGTTGCATTATAAAGGTTGTTATTGCTGGACAGGTTAATTGTCTCTTTTCATTCTGATGGATAGCAGGTAATTTTATTTTTAATGTATGGTCAAAACTTGTAGCTTTTTATGCAAGACAAGGGAAGACCACACAATGGTGTGGACTTGGTAATGATTTTTCACTGTGTTTCAAGAGCCAAAGGCTGGAACGCTTAGATCTTGGAACAGGTTTTAAGGTGTTAGCATTTAAATTCAAATACATGAAATATTGTGTTTACAAAGACTATACTTTGGGGTAAACCTGAATGTCTTGGTAGTCAGGTTTATGTTTTTCATGAGTTTCATTTGCCTTGGGGAACCAATTATATGGCCAAAAAAACCAACAACATTTGAACTTAATGTGGGATTCCCACTATTTAGTAGCTAAAGTGCATTGCGGAGGCCACAGCACACATTATTTGGTCTCTTAAATAGTTCCCTGAGGCACTGAAAAATGACCATGACAACACAAATACAGATAAATAAACACCAGCACATCTAGCAAGCACTTTACGCGTTTCATCCTTGCATTCATATTTACAGTGGAACCTCGGGTTGCAGACATAATCCGTGATGGAGGCACGTCCACAACCCGCAGCGTTCACATCCTGAAGTGCTGCGTCTGCGCAGGCGTCGGTGCGATTTAGCGCTTCTGTGCATGCACGAGCAGCAAAACCCAGAAGTAACCTGTTCAGGTACTTCCGAGTTTCCCGCGGTCCGCAACCCAAAAACACGTAACCTGAAGCGTCCATAACATGTGGTATGACTGTATTCAAAAATGTTACTAAACTATTATTGATTACAAGCTCTGCTTTATTTTACTTTCCTCAGAAACAGTACTTGATTATATTAGGCCTTTTCTGATGCTGTGGCTGGGTTATACATCTACACATGACAACTTTGAATACTTCTGGCTTGTTTCCAAGGACCTTGGGGAATAACAGCCCTAGTGTGGTGGCAGGGATCTCCAAGGAACTTACAATACTCATGAAAATACACTTTCCTGTTCTTCTCCCAGGAATTTATCCAAACTGAACTAGTGGGACCAACCTAAGTTGTGATCCAATACTTACTTGGGAGTGAGCTCTATTTAACTCAGGGGGAATTACTTCCTAGTAGATGTGCACAGGGTTGCACTGTCATTTTAGCAGCATATTAGTGGCATAACAGCATCACCTTGTCCTCCTCAGCTGCAATCAGCTGCTTCATCTGCAGAAGACGTCATCAGCAGCCTTTCCATCTTCTAGCTGGGCTGTCTGCTTCCCACCACCAACCCCAGCTGCCCTGGTGGCATGACTGGTGATATGCTGGTATTGCCTGTTGCAGGCATAGGCAAACTCCGGCTCTCCAGATGTTTGGGACTAACAGGACCAGTGGTCAAGGATGATGGGAATGAATTGTAGTCCCAAACATCTGGAGGGCTGGAGTTTGCCTATGTCTGGCCTATTGTGTCCACACCCCTCAATATGTGCATAGATGTTATCTGTGCAAGCCATGATGAAAGGATTCGCATCAGGCTTCCTCAACCTCGGCCCTCCAGATGTTTTGAGGCTACAATTCCCATCATCCCTGACCACTGGTCCTGCTAGCTAGGGATCATGGGAGTTGTAGGCCAAAAACATCTGGTGGGCTGAGGCTGAGGAAGCCTGATTTGCAGCCTGAAAAACAAGGAGATGGTAATGATGACGACAACAATGAAGTGGGCATAGCATGGATTGCCAATGTCCGGGGCCGCATGGAGGGGGTGAGAAGGAGGGAAACGGATGGAGTATGCATGCCATTTTCAATGGAGCCCAACGACGGAAGCACACAGCTGTATTGAGGCAGCATTGGGTGTGGGAATTTTGTGCCTCTAACAATTTTGCACCCGGGGCAACCACTCCTGTGGCCTTCTCACGCTACGCCATGGTGACAATGATACAATAATAACTGGAAACCCTGTTTGGAATGTAAGCGTAGGCCTTCATCCAGCTTAATTTACTTGGCACCAAATGTCTTTGACATGAGAAGCTCATCCCTACCCGACCTAAAACTTTACTACGAGGCAGCCTGTTTCACCTGGCTAAAAGATTGGTGCACGTTGCAGGATTCGGACCTCCTCGACCTGGAAGGTTTTGACAACTGTTGGGGATGGCACGCCTACCTAATATATGGAAAAGCGAAAATTCATAAAAACTTTACCAACCATATAATAAGAAAGTCACTCTTTGCTGTATGGGAAAAATATAAAGACCTGATGGAGCCTAAAGTCCCGTGGTGGACTTCTCCAGTAAAAGCCATAGCAGTAAAACGGAAAAATACTCAGGAAAGCTGGCCAACATATAAAATACTTCTAAAAAATGAAGATAACCAAATAAAATTAAAAAACTTTGAGGAAATAAGAGACCACATTTCAGACTGGTTCCAATACCATCAGTTATTTGAAAAATTTAAATCTGACAAACAAAAGGGGTTCTCAACAGAAATTTCCCGATTCGAATCTGATCTTCTAAATTCTAAAAGAAAAACTCTTTCCAAAACTTACCGACTCCTCCTTGACTGGACAGTCAAGGAGGAGGAGGTAACAGTGGCAATGGTCAGGTGGTCCCAGGATTTTGGCCACTCAATAACCATGGCCCAGTGGGAAAATTTATGGAAGATCAATTGGAAATTCATAAATTGTTACACGATTAGAGAGAACTTTCAAAAAATGCAACATCGATGGTATCTAACACCATGGAAGCTTTCAAAAATGTATAAAAATGTATCAAGTAATTGTTGGAGATGCGGAGACTCAGGAACATTCTACCATATGTGGTGGATATGTAGGAAAATACAGGTATTCTGGGAGAGTATACATGCAGAACTGCAAAAAAATGCTAAAGATCTCTTTCAATAAAAAACCAGAGGCCTACCTCCTGGGAATAACAGATTTGGATATTCCACAAAAGAGGAAGGGTATCTTTTTATATGCGACGGCGGCAGCAAGAGTTTTGAGTGCAGCAAAATGGAAGAGTAATGAAATCCCCTCTATTCAAGATTGGATCCAAAAGCTGACAGAATATGCTGAATTAGATGGTTTATCAGAAAAAATAAAAAATAAATCAAAACAGGAATTTGTTTCTAAATGGGAGGTTTTTAAAGAATATCTGAAAAATAAATATAGTAGTTTAAATTCTGTTGCAGCATTCAAGGAACTTCAGTAATAGTTGCAAGGTAGATATAAGAAATTAGATTTAATGAGAATAAGTTTAATTATGAAAAAAAGTGTATTGGCAATAAGTAATATGAATTTGAAGTATGGAATAGACGGGAGGTTGGGTCTTTAGTGTTAAGACCAATAGATGTTTTATTGTTTGCTAAGAATATTAAGTGTCTATGGTTATTTTTGTAATTTGTGTGTAATTCGGTATTTGTGTTTTTTGTTTGTTTGTTTTTCTTGTATAAATAAAAAACTTTTAAAAAAAGAGATGAGAAGCTCCTCCTCAGCGTGAAACACCAAACCCCAAAGTGCTGAAGCTTCTGAAATGCTGTGCTTCAGTTAAGCAAGTGGCATTTGGTTTGTAGGTTCCAGTAGAAAAGTAAAACAATATTCAAAAAGAATTGGAAGCTTCTGAAATTGTTCCTGATTTGAGAAACACCTTCAAGACTGTCTGTCCCAGATACATATCATCTAAGACTGCTTTTCTCTGCTTATCAATGACTACCAGGACAATCAGGACCGAGGTAGGCAGATAATATGTATACCCAGTGCTTTCTTTCTTTAAAAAATTTTTAGGGGTACTCTCATTTTAATTCAAGAAAATCACCATTTTATAGTTCAAGTTGGGAAAAATAAAAACAGTAAATGGACAAAAGTACAAAGATTCACAAAATGTTTAGGGGTATGCGTACCCCTGCATCCCCTCAGAAAAAAAAAGCACTGTGTATACCGCACCTTTTTCCTTTGCCCAGAAAAGCACCTTATTGCTCCAAAATGACCTCTGCTGAAACAATCATTCTGCTTCTAGATTTCTAGATCTTCCTTGGCTTTGATTTAACCTGTTTTCAATTCTGTCTCTGTTTTCTGCCTTAGATTTGTGGCGTTCTATTTATTTTAATTTAGAAAGCAAATTGAGTTTAAAAAAAATTAATTATAAATATATTGCACCCTGTTCTTTGACTGAATTAATTAATTACTTAAAATCGAATGCAGGCTTGACTCCGTATGGTCTCAATTTGTATCATTTATTAACAATAGTAAAGTAATCTCCCTTCTGTCTCAGTCACAGCAGCAACTATGGAGAAATTATCTTAATGCTCTAGATTTAAATATACCCTGTGGATGTGAACTTAATCTGTAATGCAGAATATTTCCCAAGTCTGTTTTGAGGCCATGTAGATGACTGCATAAAAGTTTTAACATATGTACATGTATTGTTCTGGATGACAACAGTTTATGACTGGTAATTGTTTTAAAAATGTTCAATAAAGTTTGTAATTTTTTTTAAAAAAATGTAATTAAAATGTAATAAACTTTGTTAATTTTTTGGGTGCACCATTGTTCTGATCTGAAGGCACGGGGTGCCTTCACACAGGAAATAATGGAATAAAAAAAGCAGAATGAAATAAAACTGATTTTAAGTTATTTATTTAAAATTTCCAGTTATGGGATCACTTGCATTTGCTAAAGGTTGAGGGAGCGTCCTATAGGGGCCCAAAGCTCTATATGGTGTGATATTTCATCTGAAAACTGTATAATAGCAAATATCAACGTACAATAGCCAGTGCAAAATGATTTTATGTGTGGGCCAGCAGAAGAATGAGTGTGTCATAGCTGGCACCTAGATTGTTTACCACTTCATGATGAAATACTAATTACAGCTTTCCCTTTCACTAAGAGTCCTGTGTTGCTGTACACATCTTCATGATGTGACAAAGTGTTAAATAGATGCATATTTGCACCGTTCAGACACCAGCATCCCAGACAAGGGACAATCTAGACACAACACTAAGCTTATCTTTATCCTTTCTGAAGGTTTGGTGAGCTGGACAGAAAAATCAGAGCAGGAAGCACAATGCCTGATAGCTATTTATAAACATTCAGATAACATCATTTGGCATAAGACGGACGTATTTCTTGCCAGCATCCCAGATGATACATCACTGAAATAAATGATTGGATTACACTGGGCAACAATTTTTTACTTTTTGAATGTTGTCTAGATTTCTACAACTGATTTAGGGTATTTTTGCACTGCTGAATCAGGAAATGGCATCTGTTTCTCTCCATCAGGTCAGGTTTTTGTGCTATGTTGATTTGAAAAAAAATCAGATCTTGTGACAAAATCAATTACATTTTTGTGGCATTATCAGCTGATTTTTGTCAACACATATCATCCTGAATATGTTTTTAAGAGAAAAAAATGTTCTTCCAACAACATATATTGATTACCTGATAGAAACATTGATTCCTGTAAACTGAATGGTGGGCATTGATAAAGGTAAGTACATGTAAATTGCATGTTGCTTCACCATTTTTCAAACTTCAGGGCTTGAACATCCGTTTCTTGGAACTCCTGGAATGCTCAGCGGCAGGGAGGTCTCTCTTCAGAGTCCAACAGTAGTCAGCCATCATGACTGCGTCCCAGCGACCCTGATACCTGGTCTCCATCTCTTTCATGTCCTGATGGAATCTCTCCCCCTGCTCGTCACTCATTGAACCCAGGAAACCGGTCCATATGTGAAAATAGGTAGTGCATCTTGATGCTCATGTTGCAGCCTAGGTTTCTGAAAGCAGTTAGCATGTTGTTGACAAGTTCTGCGTAGTTTCTGGCCTTATTGTTGCCAAGAAAGTTCTTCACTACCAGAACAAATGCCTTTCACGCTTCCAGTTCCACTTCGTTCATTGAGTTTCCGAACTCTGGATCTCTGATGAGCTGACGGATCTGAGGACTGTCGAAGATGCCAGCTTTCAACTTCTCCATGGTCAGTCCTCAAAAAGCCTGGCACAAGTAAGTGAAGCAGTCACCATCCTTGTCCAGAGCCTTGGTGAACTGCTTGATTAAGCCGAGCTTGATGTGCAGCGGTGGGAAGAGTATTCTGTCTCTGTCCACCAGAGGGTCGTTGATGACGTTCCTTTCTTTGAAAGGCACCAATTACTCCCGCACAGGCCAGTCCTTCTTCGTGTAATGCTGAGCACGGTGCCTACTATCCCACATGCAGAGAAAACATGGGTACTTGGTGAAGCCAGACTGTTGTCCCAACAAACAGTTCACCATCTTCAGGTCAACACAAATAAACCACTTATGCTGATCATAACCAATTTTCTCCAGCACATACGTCACCCCTTCATAGTTCTCCTTCAGTGTACTCAAGTGAGCCAGGGGTTTTGATCCCCCAACTTTATACTGTGCCGCACCAATTTATGGAAGATTTCGAGGTTTTATGACTTCAAACTGATCCCTTTTCGACATAATC